AAAACCTCCCTATCCCTGGGTTAGGGGCAGGAATACATCTCAGGCCTTAGACTTACAGGTAGAAGTGGAGCAGGATCCATGAGAAGGTTCCATTTCCAAGACCCAGCGTCTTGGACTCAGCATCTGTCTAATCAGAACAACAGAGAACACACCCCAGCCCCCACCACCTGGCCAACAAGTGTTGAGTGGCTAATACTAGTATGATTCCCAATTTACAGATGGGAAACTAAGGAGAAAGAAATTAAATGAGTCGCTCAAAAATCTCACAGCCAATAAATGGAAAAACTGAGATTGGAAGCAAGATAGTATGGCTCCGATGTCCTCGTAATGACTGTAATCCTGCAAAGGAATGTTGAGAGGAATGAGGTAAATCAGGAGAGTGGACTGTTTCAGAAGAGAAAAGTGCTCAAGGGAACATACGATTTTAAGAAAGCAGTACAATCAACAAGATTAACAGCTGTTACAGCAGGTAAGGGATGAAAAGTATCCATTGACCTTTGCAATTTAGAAAATTACCTGTAACATTAGCAGCAAGTAGATTTACTAGAATGATAAATATTGAAAGTAGAATCCACTGGATTCAGAAATGAATGTGAAATAAAGAAGATGGTTCATTAAAAATATTCCACTTTCCCCAGAAGTTTGAATACGAAGAGAAGAATTGGTGCATAGGTAGTGAGTGACATGGGAGAAGGATTGGTTTTTAAGGATAAATGTGATTTGATCCTGTTTATAAGACAAAGGGAAGAAGACAACAGAATGGGAAAGACTGTCATTATAAGAAAAAAAATAGAAAAATAAGGTGGTGTAAGGAGGTTTGTTGATGTGTCTGGGGATATGTATTGAGAGTTTTCTAGGAGTACAAATACCCTTACGTAAATATTAAAAGATATAATTTATACGATTTCAATATATCTTTATGTCAGATAAAAACTTATCTATACTTAGAGACACATATATTAATCTCTCCTACATCTTCCTTGTAGTTTTTTTTTGAATGAGTTAGCCAGGAAAAAGTTGTTTTATCTTCACTGATGTGTGTTGATATGGCCTCTGTCAGAATACAGCTTTTTGGTAATGGTGCAATAAACAACTGTCACTCTAATGTAGTTATAAGTAACAGACGCAATAACTCAATCATTCCATCTTACCTGACAAAATGGAAAACAGCTTGAAAAAAGAGCCCAAAGCACTAGGCTGAAACCCTAAGTAGGACAAGTTTTAGAGTTTCTCCCATTACAACGATGTCTTGGAGGGCAGTGACTGTACACACTCACATCTTTATCATCATTTCTGGTATTGTTGTAAGTTGATTATCAACATTTAAAAGCATATAGCCAAAAGCATATGGCTATTTAAATATTTTTCATCTTGTATTCGACAACTAGTAGAACCTCTAAAAATCTTGGAATTTCAAGTACAGCCATGAAGTTTCAGCTGCCTTTTGAGATTTAGTTGTGATAGCCCATTGCTCCCATCAATCTAGAAGGCATTCTACCTGACAGAAATGCTCGGAACATTCTTCCCTATACCTTTAAATCCTGGACTGTGTGGATAAGCTTGAATGATCCAGTCTATTTCCTAAATGTCCATCTTATTCTAAATATTCACTTCTTCCAATAACACAAATGCAGTACATTATTTTAAAATATGCATTGCTTTTTACTCCAAATATGTGAGATGGGTTTATTTGTATCTGTTATCTTAAATATTAACACAGTTTAATGCAAAAATAAAGTTTTCATTTGGAAATGGAATTGACAATGGGAACTTTAGGTTGGCTGTCACAGTGGATCACATGGAAGAACTTGGCCAAGTTCATCAGCCATATTTGGCCTAGTTTTCTGCATATGTTTGCAAGATGCAAAAGCCAGTTTATTGCTTGAGGACACAGAAACCTGGAGGAAAGGCTTGGAATTTGTGCCATTTAATCCATTGGGCGTCTTTCTTTTTGCCTAGATTTTGCCTAGAGAGATCTGATTGTACCAGTAGAATATAAATAGAAGTATGAAACTTCTATTTGCTTTTTGTCAGCTACAGAGTCTTATAGTGTGTACTTGTCGAGCATTTTTGGGAACATAACTGCAAAGAAAACAATTTGAGTGTGAGCTTTGTGGTAAAAAGTACAGTTCTAGGTAGGAATGATTGAACAAATGTGAATTAACAAACACATTCTTTTTAGGTGTTCTCAATTCCTTGTGGAAGTTATCACAAAATGGGACAACATGAAAATATTTGTATTCATGAAGTTTGTCCCCTATGTAACATTATTTCAGAATTTTTGATGAATCAATCACACAATTAAAGGTCATACAGTTACAGCTGATTCAAACTCCGAAATGAATAGAGATGTCAAAGCATTGAGCGTATTGGACGTTTACACATGAATAAGCAAGATGACAGAATTTGTTTTCAAGCTGATCTATTTTTTTGATTTTGCATGTTTTGATAGTTCTTTAACTTGAAATTTTCATAGATTTTTTTTCATATTTATATTAGCATATAATTAGCATAGATATAATTCCATAGTAGGATATATAAATGCTCTCTCTTCACACAAGAGGAAAAATGGATATAGATTTTTATTTCCCTTACTAAAATATCTCTAGACTATTTAGTATTTAAGGGATAACTGTACTTTTTAATTGGAGTTAATAATTTTAATTGATGCAGTAGTCTATTAAATTCCAGTTTTAAGTCAAGGCTCTTAATATTTCAGGGCAAGCGTTTGAATTTCAGAATTTGGAAGAACAGGATTCTGACACATTTGCTACTTCTTCCCTTCACCATATTTGGCATTTGAATACTATGGTCACTCTTTAGCTATCAAAGAAAATCTTACACTAGTCTCATAAAACCTTCACATAGCCAGACACCGAAACACTCAGTGTCATGACGTACCTCTCTGGGGAGATTCTCTCTGTAACTCTTCTCAGATCACTGGAAAATGTCATATTTGAGGGAGATGTTTTAATGAAGCTTACCACATTTATATTTTAACGCTATGTGTGTATATAGCCAACTGCAGTTGCTCCAAAGAGGAACTGTTTGCAGTGCACTGAGACTGTTGACGGATAAACTGGCCAGTGATAAGTAGGCAAGAAGTGAAGATGGGTGGCTCTCATGACTTCCGAGTTGCCACAGACTCTACATTTATGTCTTCCCTTTGCGATTTGCAGATTTACTGAGAGAAGCATTTTCAACTAAGTAATTCCTCACATCCCAACCTGTGTGGGGACATAATGAAACTTCTACCTGTAGAATTACTATGAAATTCTAGTAACCATGTAAAGCATGAAAAAAATTGATTTGGAAACTCTAGGAGTCTCATGATACTTAAACTCATACAACACTGATCTTGTTTAAGTGTATTATGATTACATTTGTCTGTCTTCCCAACTATATTGTGATTTAACTAATATCACAATATTAGTTAAATAAATTGTCCCCCATGGGGGGACAATTCCTTTTTTAAGATATTTGTTATATCGGAAGTATTCAATAAATACTAGTTTAATGAAGAACCTTAATGACTCACTGACTCTCTCTTGTAATCTTTACTGAAGTCATGTTTTTTTTTGTTTGTTTTGGGGAGTGTTTGGGGGGGCTTGGGTGAGTGGCAGGAATTTGTATCAAGTTTCCCTTTTGGATTGACTGACATTGTCAAGGAACTTTGATATTCGTAGAACACCAGAGTTATAATACAAACACTTGAGTTTAACTTCTGGCTTCACCATTGACATGCTGTGCCTCATTGGGAAAATTATCTTCCCTGAATCTTCATTTCTTCATCATAAGTAATCATTACCCCATACCTATGCTGAGAGGACAACCCCGGACACTTCAGAAAGAGCTATAGTAAAGGTAGAGACCAAAACTCAAAGATCAGACCAGTGGAGCTCTACCTTACTAAGGATGTAGCAGCCAACCAAGGAAGGGCAGTGATGGAAGCAGATTCTCTGCCTCTGTCACGACAATATTACATAAACAATTTCTTGAGGAGATGTCAGTCTGTGAGGAGAACGGGGAACGGAGAGAAAAAGCAGAAAGAGTAAAAATGTAACCCAAACTGACTTATTTTCTGAAGAACCTGAGTTAAACCAAATGGACAAGCTTTAAATTTTTGTTTTGTTTTGCTTTTTTTTTTTCATCACCAAATGAGAATGAAGACTTTTGAGCATGATAGGGTCAGTTATGTGATGGAAACACAATTTTTTTAAAAAAATTAGCTTTTCCACATCTGAGTTAATAATGAGTAAATTTCCAGTCAATCACACTAGTCTGTCTTTCTCTTTTTTTATAACTTACCTATGTATCGCGGTCTCATTTATAACTTACTTCATTTCTTCATCATAAGTAATCATTACCCCATACCTATGCTGAGAGGACAACCCCGGACACTTCAGAAAGAGCTATAGTAAAGGTAGAGACCAAAACTCAAAGATCAGACCAGTGGAGCTCTACCTTACTAAGGATGTAGCAGCCAACCAAGGAAGGGCAGTGATGGAAGCAGATTCTCTGCCTCTGTCACGACAATATTACATAAACAATTTCTTGAGGAGATGTCAGTCTGTGAGGAGAATGGGGAAGGGAGAGAAAAAGCAGAAAGAGTAAAAATGTAACCCAAACTGACTTATTTTCTGAAGAACCTGAGTTAAACCAAATGGACAAGCTTTAAATTTTTGTTTTGTTTTGCTTTTTTTTTTTTCATCACCAAATGAGAATGAAGACTTTTGAGCATGATAGGGTCAGTTATGTGATGGAAACACAATTTTTTAAAAAAAATTAGCTTTTCCACATCTGAGTTAATAATGAGTAAATTTCCAGTCAATCACACTAGTCTGTCTTTCTCTTTGTTTATAACTTACCTATGTATCGCGGTCTCATTTATAACTTATGAGTTTATAGTATTTTATGGTGTACAGAATGCTTTCACATATACCCTCTCATCTGTTTCTTACCATAATGCAGTGAGATAATGTCAATATATTATGTTTCAGGTAAGGAAATTGAAGACTTGTTCAGAACCAGATAACTGATGAGAGAGAGAGAGAAGAAAGAGAGCAGCTGACAGCTCAGGTCCTCTTTCCACGCTCAGGAACCACCACACATGCTACTGTGTTGGGCTTCATTTTGTTTCTCTCTGAAACTTTGTACTCTATTTGCAATGGTATGGTTATTTGTTAAGACCTTTTACACATTTTTTTAAACAAATATTGCTGCAAAGTTTTGTATTTAAATGAAACATATTTAAATTAAATATTTTCTTGTTATCTAGCATGCACCTGATTCTTTGATTTGGTTGTTTTAGCCAAAATCCCCGTAGAAGAGTCTGTCTAGGTGATAGTTTATGAGTACAGCTGGGCAAAACAAAACAACAGCCTATGAAAAACTCATTCTGATCATTTCATATCTAGGAAAAATAGAGAACAACAAAAGTGAGTCAATATTTTATAAATTCGAGGTCAATATTCTATGTCAATGCCAATAGCGTATGAGTTCCAAAGGATTTGTGTCACTATTAAATTAGAAATGATTCACTCTTATTTGATGTACAGTGGATTTAGACATATAATAGAGAGAAAGAAAGAGAATACAAAGGATAGAGAGCAAACATATCTTGTAGGACAATTGCAAACCTCTTATGAGCTTTGATACAAATAGAGACCATCTCTTCTCCTTGGCTATTCATTCATCTTTAGCATTAGTGAATTTATGGCTTGTATTCTCGACCTTGACCTATAGCCCTGAAATGCTGTATGTCTGCCCTGCTTCAGCAGGTAAACTTCAGGACAGTGACTGTGTGTTACCTGTTACATATCTATAGCCCAGATCTTAGATGAGTGCTATTAGAATTGGGAGAGAGGCTTTAATTTGATATTCAGGGATTGATGTTTATACATTGGATGTCACCTTTCAATGTAAGCTTTTTATTCTTAATATTTGATCTAGTTTAATTTCCTGAGCTATTGGTCATGATTGTGGAAATCACTCTGTAGGGCTTTCATTGCTAATATATTTTGTAACCAATCAGGCTTGTGGAGAACTCAATTTGTATGTTTCTTTGATAACTGAGGTACACATCAAAGCAGGTTTCTCCTCCTTGCTTAGGAATTTTTTCTATTTTCCATCAGAGTTCAGTGCCCATACAGTACCACCACCAGTCATATAGCTTACTACTTAAGCAATTCCTTTAAGGATGTCAAGAGAGCATGTTGTTTCTTTCACGTAACTTTTACTTTCAAAGTCAGACCAAATTAGATATTAGAGTATTATAAATTCCTATCTTAAATTCCTTTGGCATTATTTTTATATTCATGTTTGTTGTCTGTACATCAAGCAGATTTTTTCCAGCCCATTTCTACTGATCGATCACCACTGATGAACAAACCCATCTTTTCATGCGTCTGCAATGGAAAGCCTCTTTGCTAAATACTTCATACTGATCATTATCTGATACAGAAGACAACAAATTTAAAAATGCTCAGGTTGAATAGATTCAATCTTCTCATCCATCATTTTAGAAAAATGACAGCACAACTTGTATACAATTTCAAATGAATTACTGGAATATTTCTGGCTAGACTGGGAGAACATATATACTGATAAGAAGCCCATTTGATTTACTAAAGCTTACCATATTATTTATTAACTCAGCATCATTAATATCCACAACTCATTTTTTCTACTGATGATTGCTCCATTGTACAATATATAAGTGTAATGAAAAATTATCTGTATTTTTAGAAATTGAAAAAAATAATTTACATGAGTCATATTATATAGTCAACTCAGGACTGAAGTTATATAATGAGTTATAGCTGAGACAACAACATAAGAGAGGCATTGAAGTATTGTAAAAGATAATGTGGTGATGATGTGTTTACAATAAGCCTATTCCTGCCGTTTTACCCTTTTATCTATTATGTATGTCACATGCAGTTATTATTATTTTTTTGGTTCTTGCCTTTCCCCTTAGCTCTTCCAATGTTTTTTCCTCTTTTTTGATATAAAAAATGATATTAAGTGGAAAGCATAAAAAGCTTCAGGCTATTCAAGGAGAGTAAAAAAGAGAATTTTCCAGGCCTCAAATATTTCTGCTCTGGATCTAGAACACAGCACATATTGATATGAGTTCTCTAATTCATGACTATTTGGAAGTATTGTGTACACGTTTCAGCAAATTTTGGCAAAAGCCATGTCCTCTAATGAGGAAGTGACTGTCCTCTTCTTGTGTCATTTCCCAGCCCTGAAGTCCTGTTTACACTAAGCTCCTTTGTTAAGGATTCTACATAAAGGTCTTTGATACTGTCGAGCCCATCCTTGAGTCATTCTTAGCTGACACTTTGTGTCTGGCTGGCAGTTTTTCCATGAGTGGTAAGGTCAGCCTCATACAATATTACACAACCTCCCCCTACTCCTTGTGCGTCAGTGAGAATCAAATGACCCTTAATAGTGAAAAAACAAAATCTTGGAGTAAAGTAAAAAGATGACCAATCTTTAAACAAAGCAAACCGATGTTCAGACTAGAAGGATTCTCTCATGTTCTTTATGCATTTTACTGGTTGTCTGTGAACAGCTTTTTCTTGCTAAAAATGCTCTCTAAAATGTTTATTTGCTGTAGATAATTATCATCTTTTAATTTGTGGTTTCTTTCCTTAATAAAGTTATGGAACATTTGAGGTGATTCGGGGTTAGCATGGTATAGTGGAGAGGGTACTGAGTCAGCTGCTTTCCCTTCCAAGGATCCATTGGAAGGACCCTTAATTTTTCCTTGTCTGTCACCTCATCTGTACAATGAAAATAATCATATCTCCCTCACAGAGCTGATGCGTAATGTACTGTGTATAAAATAATTTGGTACACTGTAAAAGCCGATTTAAATGAAATAGGCTACTATTCTTTTAAGAGCCAGAAGAGTTTGCTGTCATTACTTGAGAAAAGGTCAGAATATGGAACCTTTTAGAATTGCATGTTTTAGAAAGAGTGATTTGATAAGTATTGGCTTAAACTAGTGGGATTTTCAATAGCCCGGTTGCAGCATTTTTCTTATTACTTTGCCTCTGTAAAGCTTTCATGCTATATTGGAAAAATCTTCCCTTAACCATGAAATTAAAGATGTAACTGAGTTTGAGTTAGCTGTTACTCTTTCAGTGATTTGCGGGCAATGAGTTTTGAGTAATTGGCTTCTACCAGTTGTTTCACTTCTGACACCCATCCTCTTTCCTCTGTCCGTTCTTCACTGCTTAGAAAGAAGCAATGGGGAATTTCCGTTGACTCATCTGTGTCCAGTTTTTGATGGGCATACACATTTTTTTTTTCAAGAGGCAGGTGTCTAATTCAGAGAGAATGTATTTTAAACCTAGTGGTAGATACACCAATTAAGGAACCTATAAATAAAGTTGAACTCTGGAGCCAAATGATTGTTGGGGATTGTCATCTTCATAATGAAAGTCTTTGCCATTATAATCTCATTTGGCAAAGATGAACTGGTCCCCTTGGGAGATGCCTTGCCAAATCTTCATCTGCAATTCTGTATTGATGCCAAGCCAGACTGTTATCTGAAAACTACTTCACATCCTTTGTGGTCTATGCCCTTAACCTCAAGGATTCAGTTTGCGGACATTGAACAGCCAGAAACTGTTGAGAGAAGAGTACCTTTTAAAAAATTACGGTCGTTAAGGTATAATGCCATATGTGCTCAAGGGGTGGTGAAGATGCTGAGCAGCTTCTTGTTCATTAAGACTGAAATATTTATATGAGCAGTAATAATAGCAGTGTATTTTAGAAGATGTGTGGTATGAAATTGATCACTGATGCAGTTAGATAATATTGACAGCTTCTATTGTAATTATGTAAATAACACCAAGTTCACCTCTCCCTTTATCTTTCATTTCCATGTGCATGTGAAGAGAGGGCTAGAAAGTGAGTCAATGCTAGGCTGAGTTCTGGGCTATTTATTTACCTGACAGCAGCTTGAAGTTTATATTCCCCTGTTATTTTTTCGTCCAAGTTAAGCAAGTCCAGTAGGTTGCACAGAAGTGACATACAAATATGTGTTTATTTGGAGGAATGCCTGGGGATAAAGCATCCACATGAGAACACTGACAAGCCAATTGGTCCATTTTGAGTTTTTCCATTTCAGAGCTGTGTTTCGATCCCACTTGACTAATACCAATGCTTTTTTTTGTTACCTTTCGAACAGATAATTTTAAATTGTTCTCCATAGGGATGTCTAGCTGTCTATCAATCATTTCATTTCAATGCAGAAGTATTTGATTAGTGTATTTAAAGTAATAAAGATGTCAACAGTAGTGTCACCTTGATTGATGCTAATTATAAGTCTTTAATGGTTCCTCTGCTTTGGCCACTATCCTTGCAGATTGTGATTTTTTATGGTTAAAATGGTGCCCTGCTGTCCAAAGGCTTAATCATAAATTCCAATCTATCTTTCTTTAATGATTCTGCATGCAGTGGTATAATCCCAGTAACATACATTATCTTTGTTCGTTAAAAGCAAGCAGTGACTTTCGTAGGGGTGATTAATGCATTTATAAGGAGCTTGAAGAATCCTTGTTGGGATCACAGCAGAGGTTATAATGATTATGCTTGCTGGGCATTAGAATTAGCAGCAATGTTACATCCGCTGTCTGAAAATAATTGAAGATTTTTATGCAGTCCCTGTTTAGCACATTAACGTTGTAAATGAGACTATAACTGCAGTGGTAAAAAGACTTAAGTTTTGCAGCCTGAAGATGCTATCAGTATGTGGTTGTCACACCAATGAAACTAAAAGCAAGTTAAATTATCTGAGGGCTTTCCTTCTTTAGAACGAATAGTCTTATTAAACAGATTTGGGGTCACTCAATTTAAAATATCTGTTGATTAAAATGTCTTTTCCACTGTGGTTTTTCAGGCTGAATTTTAACAGTGCTAATATATGTTTAGTCTTTAATCTCCTTACTCAAGCCCAGCGATAGAGTTTTAAATAAGAGAAAATGTGCCCAGTGATATGACATATACATTTACAGGACTTTCAAAGTATGGATGGTTCATGTAAATATATGTCCATATATACCGCACAATAACACTTCTCTGAAATGCCATATTTTATTAAAGAGAAGCTCAACATAAAAGGATGCTCTACCATTTTATAAGAGCAATTTACCTTCACAGCAAATAGAACACATAGTACCTTGCATGTAGTAGACATTTTTAAAGTGTTTTAATGTCGTCAAAGAAGGTACTGACAAGTTAGGTTGTTGTCAAACTAATGTTAGTATGCACCTGTTTTCTCCTGTTTAATTTTACTTTTTTCTATGCTTATAAATTAAGCTAGATAGAGCTACAATCCTAAATGTTAGAAGTATTTATACCTCTTTGCTTTCCATTAATTTAACATTCATTCTAATGTTAATATCTTACTGTAATAATCTCTACTAGCTCTATCTTCTTACATTTAGACAAAACTGTTTCTTCTAGTAAGGAGAAAAATATATATTTAAAAATAATTTTTGACCCACACTCATTTTCAAATAAGGAAATGTCAGATTGCATTATAGGAAGATAATTATTCTCTGAGTGGTACTGGCTTAGAGAAAAAAACCCCAGACCTCAGAGGTGAATCTTGGAGAGTAGTCCTCTTACAATACCATGTATTTGACATTTCTGGAGGTGGCTATAGTTATAGTTTGGGATGATAATAAGATCTACTTAAAATATTTCTTTTCCTGGACATTTGAGAATATCTTCCAAGCTGCATAGTGTTTGAAGGCGCCTTGATTTGTAAGCACTGCATTGGAGAATCTTTAACATCTATTTGGGGTTTTTACAATGATGACTTACTGCAAAATCTTTTCATCTCACCATCATATAGTTTAAGATGGATGAAATGTTGATTTTCGTGTGTCTGGATATGCTTTGTTAGATAATGACTGTCATCAGTGAGCCAACGTACATCTCTTTACCAGAATGGTGATATGGAAAATATACACACAGGGTATAGCCTCTCCTACAGAGAACCTTTTACTTTTGGAGTTTCGCTACGACATTGCAAATGGGTCAGAAAGGGATGTTAGAAAGCTTAGAATGGATGAGGAAAGCCAGAATTAATTGAACTAGGATTGATTGGGGGAGAAGCCTGATGTGGAACCAAAGGGAGGGCTGGAGGTGATCTGTATGGTGATTAGTTCCCCGTGAAGTCAGTACAGACCCCCAGTTTGTCCACTCGTTTCCACAATTGTAGTGCTCCACTTATTAAGGAAGGGGAGCCTTATTAGAATAACCAGAGAGAGCCTCTTCTGTGGGCACCAGGGATCAGTGGATGCCCCGGAGATCTAGGCCTTATAATTACATTGTGTGTGATTCTGCAAAGAGAAATGCAAACTGCTTGATTGGAGAAGGTGTTAGCTGTGTTGCTTAGTCTCTCACTATGTGATTATTTCCTTTTGTAGTTTTGATAAATTAACATTGGCTTACGTATTCAACAGGAATATTTTTTAAAGTTTTTTTCAAGCCCCAGGGCTTCTGTTTAAAAATTCAGGTTAATTCTCAGAGGTTTTCAAAAGCATTTCTGCATCATGCTACTAATTAAGATAAGGTTATCATTTTAAGTTATACCAGGAATGCAATTAGAGCTTCTAGTGAGAACTGTAGCAATCAATTTCATACAAATTATTCAGACCTGGTAAGGTAGAATACAGTTTTAATAGGACAAGTGAACATACTGCGATTTATTAGATATAATGTGAATTCGAATGACACCTGAATATAGCATCTGTAACCCATCATGCGCCCAAGTCACTGGGAATCCAGTTCAACAGCCTTTCATCAGAAGAGATTTAATAATATGTCTTCAATTCCCCATTATTCAATGGCCGTTAGTTTAGATGTGAGAGGGATTTTTGTTTTCAGATTTGAATGGTTTTAGACATGAGAAAGTCATCTGTAAGATACAAAGCACAGATGACCTAGCCCTCTCATTTTTTCTAGACCAACATGTGCTGCAGAGAAATCTGCTTGCTTGCTTTTTTCTTTTGTGTGGTCTGCAGAGCCAGCTGAACAACTGAAGTGTTGATCAACAAATTTTCTGTGTTGTCCATCTCTTCTGAAGAATATTGAGTGTTGGATAAGAAAGTTACATGCCTTATCTGCCAACTGTCAGTAATTACTTATTCATTAAGTGGATACCTATTTTCTAAGGAGGTATGAGGACGGCAGAGTTGGATAGCTCCTGAAAAGGTTGTATATCTTTTCCTCCTAAAATCACTACAAGTCATTCCAAGCTCTGCAGTAGGTCATATAAGTAAATTATAGCACTTCTGGGCTTTCTTTTTGTGGACATGTTAAAAATATTTTCAACACTTTTTAGTTTTTCCAGTTAGTTTTTTTCTCATTTGACATGTCAGTTGGTCCACGCTTTGCTACGTGCCTAAATTTCTCAAATTGCAGTCATTTTTAAATGTGTATTTAGTGAGCTTCTGTTGTGTGCCATGCATTGTGCAAGTTATTTGGCCTATGGTGGTGAACAAAGAGAGTGTGCTGGTATCTATAACATGAGCCTGCCTGTCTCACCTCCACCATTAACCACATAACATTCCATCGCAACACATGACTTTTTCTTTTAATTTAAAAGAAGATAAATATCATCTATTACAGTCTCCTCCATCTTCTGTCTCCACCATATCTACTATTATCTACAGCTAGAAGGTTTTTTCCTTCTGTTCTAGCTCATAGAAAATGTCACATCCAGGTATAAAATTAACCTGATTAATTTGAAGAAGTTACTGAATTAATTTTCTTCCTCTCTTCTTCTCAATCTTTCTCACTCTCCTGCTTCTTCCCTTCAACCAAAAAGCATGTTCAAGTTTTTCCCCTAACTTATGCATAAAGAGTAAATAAAAATCTGTTGTCTTACCTCTGTTACTCCTTCAAATTTCCTAGTTGCCAGTTTTCTTGAAACTATGTCTGCATAGATTCTGATTCTTCTTTCTCATTTCCTCATCTTACTGTAAGAGCCTGGCCTTTGGACCAGCAAGTCTACAGACAAATGAACACCAACGGCCTATGTTTAATTTCACATAACCTCTTAATAACATTTGATGTTGCTGCCTATTTCCTCCTTCTGGAAATTTGCAAC